GAAAACTTCCCCAAAAAACAAAAAAGCAAATTTTCCTAGAAATAGACTTTAAGCCAAACACTGTAACAAGAGACAAAGATAGTCATCAGATCATAATAAAAGGGTCAATTCATTAACAGAATATAACAAGTGTAAATATTACACCCAACATCAGGACACCTAACTATATAAAGCAAATATTAACAGGTATGAAGAGAGAAAATGACAGCAATATAATAATAATAGGGGACTTCAACACCCTACTTTCAACAACAGATAGATCATCTAGACAGAAAATCAGTCAAGAAACATCAGACTTAAACTACATGTTAGATCAGATGGACCTAACAGACATATATACAATATTTCATCTAACAGCAGCAGAATACATATTCTTCTCAAGCACATATGGAACTTTCTCCAGGACAGATAATATGTTAGGCCACAAAACATGTCTTAATAAATGTTTGATTTAAATCATATCAAACATATTTTCTGACCACAATGTATGAAACTAGAAACCAATGACAAGAGGAAAACTGAAAAATCCATATATATGTGGATATTAAACAATATGCTCCTGACAACCAAAGGTGTCAAGAAGGAATCAAAAGGGAAATCAAAAAATATCTTGAGACAAAAATTGAAACACAACATACCAAAACTTATAGGATGCAGCAAAAGGAGTTCTAAAAAAGAAATTTTTAGTGATAAAGACCTACATTAAGAAAAAAGAAAAATCACAAATAAACAACCTAACTTTATACCTCAAGAAACTATAAAAAGAAGAACAAGGAACACCTGGGTAGTGCAGTTGATTGAGCATCCAACTCTTGGTTTTGGCTCAGGTCATGATCTCAGGGTTGTGAGATCAAGCCCCCAGTTGGGCTCCACACCTAGTGTAGAGTCGGCTTGGAACTCTCTCTCCTTCTCCCTCTGCCCCTCCCCACCCCTGCTCATGCATGCTTTCTTTCTCTAAAATAAATAAACCTTAAAAAAAAAAAAGTAAGAACAAATTAAGCCCAAAGTTAGTAGAAGCAATCACAAAGATCATAGTGGAAATGAATGAAATAGAGACTAGAAAAACACTAAAAAATCACTGAAATTAAGAGCTGATTCTTTGAATAGATAAACAAAGTTGGCAAAACTTTAGCTAGAATAAGAAAAAAGGGAAAACACTCAAATAAAATTAGAAATGAAAGAGGAGACATGACAACTGATAACAAAAAATACAAAGGATCATATGAAATTATACAATTATATACCAAGAAATTAGATAACCTAGAAGAAGTGGATACATTCCCAGAAAAATATGACCAACAAGCCTGAATCATGAAGAAAGATCTGAACAAATTACTAGTAAAGAGATTGAATCAGTAACCAAAAACCTACCAGCACAGAAAAGTCCAGGACCAGACAGCATCACTAGTGAATTCTACCAAACATCTGAAGAAATGTCAATCCTTCTCAACAATCCCAAACTCATTTTTCAAGGCCACTGTTATCCTGATATCAAAGACAAGGGTATCACAAGAAAAGAAAATTACAGGCCAATATCCCTGAAGAATATAAACACAAAAATCCTCAACAAAATATTAAACAGATTCAACAGTACATTAAAAGGACCATACACCATGATCAAAGTGGGATTTATTTCTTAGATGCATTGATAGTTCAACATATGCAAATCAATAAATGTGATACAGCGCATGAACAAAATGAAGGATAAAAATCATATCTCAATAGATGCAAAAAAAAGCATTTGACAAAATTCAACATCCTTTTATGATAAAAACTCTCAACAAACTGGACATAGAGAATACATACTTCAAAATAATAAAGACCATACATGACAAGCCCATAGTTAATAGCACAGTCAATAGTCAAAAGCTGAATACTTTTCCTCTAAGATCAGTAACAAGACAAAGATGCCTATTCTTACCCAGTTTATTCAACATAGGACTGGAAGTCCTAGTCAGAGCAATAGGTAAATAAAGAAATAAAAGATACTCAAATTGGAAAGGAAGAAGTAAAACTGTCTGTTTGCAGATGATATGACATTACATGTAGAAAATCCTAAAGATGCCATAAACAAAAACGAAAACAAACCTCTTAGAACTCGGTAAAATAAATTCAGTAAATATGCAGGACACAAAATCAATACACAAAAATCAGTTGTGCTTCTATACATTAGCAATGAATTATCAGAAAAAGAAATTAAGAAGACAATGCAAAGGGGGCGCCTGGGTGGCTCAGTCGTTAAGCATCTGCCTTCAGCTCAGGTCATGATCCCAGGGCCCTGGGATAGAGCCCCACATCAGGTTCTCTGCTCCGCAGGAAGCCTGCTTCTCCCTCTCCCTCTGCCTGCCATTCCCCCTGCTTGTGCTCTCTCTCTCTCTCTGTCAAATAAATAAATAAATAAAATCTTAAAAAAAAAAGAAAAGAAAAAAGAAAACAATGCAAAGTAATGGCAGAGTAATTAATTAAAGGGGAAACAATTATGACAATCATCTGCTTCAGAGAAGCAGCACTCCACTTCCCCTATATAAAGTACTGTGTATATTTTTCCAAAGCAGGAGAACTTCTTCAGAATTCTTAGTGAGTGTTGGGGCTGAGGAAATTTCTAAATTTCAAGGTTGAAGAAAAAGTCCTATACACTTTCAAACAAAAAGAAAATTTCTTGTCCAAGGAAAAAATCAGTTCAGTACTGGAACCTCATCTACAATATAGAGTGACAGAAGAAAATAAAATTATTTTGGTCAAGTTTAAGAGAAAACTTTTAACTTAGAATTCTACAAACAGATAAACTATCAATCCAGTATAACAGCAATATAAAAGCACATAAAACTTTTGAAACAACTGAAGTTGTTAAATAAGCAAAAAGTGGTACAAACACAAGAAGAAATGAGAAAGCTGAAAGACATAGCAGGAAATTTTAATATATTTCTCTCAGAATTTAATTGCTCAAATAGACCAAAAACAAAACAGTATTAAGAATTTTAACAATACAATTAACCTTGATTTAACATATATATTTAGAACTATGTGGCCATAATAACAAAGAATACGCAAAATACTTGCAAACATTTTTAAAATAACTGAGACTATGTAACTGCACAGCATTAAAAACACCTGACCATGGATTTAACCACAAAAAAAAAAAAGAAAAAAATCAAGCCAGTATTATCTGAACAACAAAAGTAGAAATCAACAACAAAGGCTAAATACTCTCATCATTCTCCAACCCCCCAATAATATCTATTCACTCGGAAATTTTAAACTTCACTTTAAATAGTACTTGAGCAAAAGAGAAAAACTATAGAGTCACAGACAATTTTGAAAAGACCACCTAGTGAAAACTATGAAGTGTCAAAGTAGTACTCAAAAAAACATATATAACTTAAGTGAAATTTATTAGAATATAAGATTAAAAATAAATAAGAAGTGAACTGAAAGAGATAGAAAAATAGCAGTGTATATTATAGCAAGGAATTGCACATATATATGCATATGTGCCTATATAAATATATAAATGTAAATAAATATATATTATATATTAATATCTTCACCTATTTAAAGTATTACTTTTCCCTGCTGTTTTCTCTGCCCTGTTAACTATCAGAACTGACATAAGATATTAATAAATTCTGCACTGACATTTAGAATCAAATAACAACTGAAAACAGGACTATAGACAGTATTTGAACTCTAGAAGATTTAAAGACACATTAAGAATATGCTTTAAAGGGAAGGGAGGAAAAGATAAAACAAGACGAAATCAGAGAGGTGACAAACCATAAGAGACTCTTAATCATAGGAAACAAACTGAGGGTTGCTGGAGGGGAGGGAGTGGAGGGATGGGGTAATTGGGTGATGGACATTAAGGAGGGCATGTGATGTAATGAGCACTGGGTGTTATATAAGACTGATGAATCACTGAACTCTACCTCTGAAACTAATAATACACTGTATGTTAATTGAATTTCAAAAAAATAAAATAAAATAAAGATAAAATGGCTCAGGTCAAAAAAATATGCTTTAAAAAAAGAAAGAATTATAATACTTCTTTAGAATCAAATTAAATTTGACACAGGATGTATTTATAATATTAAAAATAATAAAAATTTTAAAGTAATAATAATACTATAAGCCAATACTTCTCAAAATTTTGCACTAAAATGCCCCAATGATAGACAATAGTAAATTGGCCTCAGCAATCTTATGTATAACACTCTATTATAGATGAGACTGTTTAAAACTTGACTTGTAGAAAGTGATTTCATTACCATAAGAAAATAAAGATTTCATAAAATCACTTTATCTTTATTTCTATCCAGTTTCCTGAGAATATTAAAAGTCAGACACAAAAATATACTTTTTCTTTCATTTCATTATTTTATTAGAAATCTCTTATTTTTTGAGTCATATATGAGATATTTATAAACATGCATTTACAAAGGAGAAAGCTGAAATATAGACACGAATAGCATTCATAGTCACAAGGGCAGAGACAAAGACACACCCAGACCTTAGTCTTTCTAATTCTAACTTCAACAGTCCTTCTCATAGGAAGTATTTGTTTCAGATTTTCAGGATGTAATTATTCTGCTGAACAACTTTATCAGTGACATACCTTTGTTATCAATATCTACAACTGTCTCCTTTTTCATTCTCACATAAATAAAGAACAATATAATGGACTTTGATTAACTTTACATATACATTTATGAAAATTTAACAAATTAATGAAAGTAAGTCATATAAATCCAGCCAAGAAAAAGACTAACCTCCAAAAAAATTTAAGCTAGAATTGTATTTTGCCACTTTGAGAGTCAATCATACTTAATTTGAGGATGAAACTGATAATCCTTCAAGCATTAGGTCTATAAAACAAACATTTTAATGATGTCTTTAACTTATATGTTTTGAATTTATACTATAATGTGTGCTGTTTACTATAATGTGTGTTGTGTACTTTCCCAATACCAGCTTCATGAGCTGTATGTTTCTAAACATCTTACTTTTTTTGCTATAGAAGAAGGGGGCTCCTTTTTCATACTTCTTAGTAAAAACTCTGGCATGTTGTTTTCAATATCTTCACGAGTTCCCTTTTTATGCAAAACTGCAGCCAAAAATGAAATAACCTGGGAGAAAAAAAAAAACTTTTTAATTACTGTGTAAATGTTAGAAGATGGACAAAATGTTATGGCTTACAATTAACTACCCAATTACTGAAAATTTGAGTATGTATAAATAGATTTGTTACAGGAGAAAACAATATGAAATAGTAGTACTGGTTTTCTCTTATATATTAACAAACAAATGTACAGTACACCTTACCCCTGAATACAGTAAAAAAGAATTCTCACATGGCTATCTCTTCCATGATAAGTTTTACCTACTCAATGAATTCTTTCTTGATCTCATCAGTTAGGACATTACCTTATTTGCCTCTCTCCATGGAAACTATCTCTTCATATACTCTATTAGAATAAACGATATACATTCTTTTTTCCCTGTAGAAAATAAACCCCTTGAGTTTATTTGGCTCATAAAGTTGTGCACTTCTATTCATCTAATAATTAAAGATGGAATAATAGAATGTTATTTTAAGATAGACTAAGACAATTCATCATTATACACACCACTTGGAATAACAGCTATTCTCTAAATACCAAGTAAGAAAGACAAAGAGACATAATAAAGGAAATACAACCTCACGTAATGAAGAGCAAGAAATATTTAATCAATTGGACTCTGGTTCAAATTTCAGCCTTAGTTGCTTGGCAGTTATATAAACTTGGGCAAGTTAATCTATTTGAATAACTGTGAAAATATATGAAAATAGGAAAAATAAATATTTGCAGAGTTGTTTTAAAGATTGGGGGGGAAGTACTTTCCATACTATCCATATGGGGGGAAAGAATCATTACTTTAGAAAAATAAATCAAATAAATATTAAAACCTAAAGAAAAAAATATGAGAGGCACCTGGGTGGCTCAGTCAGTTAAGCGTCTGCCTTCGGCTCAGGTCATGATCCCAGGGTCCTGGGATCGAGCCCCGTGTCCAGCTCCCTGCTCAGCAGGAAGCCTGCTTCTCCCTCTCCCACTCCCCCTGCTTGTGTTCCCTCTCTTTCTGTGTCTCTCTCTGTCAAATAGATACAAAAAAAATCCTTAAAAAGAAAAAAAAGAAAAAGAATATGAATGACTAAAAAAAATAGTGTTTTTAAAATGGGAATGGTTACCTACCATCTCAATCCCAAATGACAAAGAAAAAGAATGGTGTAAGAGAAGTATTTGAAGAGATAAAAGCTGAAAACTTCTAAAGCCTGATTTAAAAAAAAGTCAAGCCATAAATTCCAGATCCACTAACAACATCAAACCAATAAATAAGTAAATAAATAAATTATTAATCCACAAGTAGGCGTTTCATAGGAAAACTGCTCAAAACTTGAGACCAAAAAAAAAAAAGAAAAAATCTTAAAAGTAGCACGAGGAAAACACAATAGATTACCTACCAAAAAGCAACAACTGGACAAATAGCTGATCTTGTAGCAAAAACAACGAAAGACACTATATGATAGAATGATATTTTCAAAATGGTAAAGAAAATAAAAGGAACCTAGTTTTACACCCAATAAAGATATTATTCAAGAACAAAGATGAAGATATTTTCAGACAAACAAAAACTGAACAAATTCCTCATCAAAAGAGCCATAGTAAAGGAAATAATTAATGAGGTTTTCAGACACAAGGAAAATTATACGATGTAGATGTTCAGTGATGCAGGAAAAACTTAAGAGCAACAAAAATGGTAAATATATAGAAAATATAAATATATATTAACATTATTGAACAAAACTGTCTTCTTGAAATTAAATAAAAGCATTAAAAGATAAGACAACACATGTATTTGAGTCTGAAAGGGCCCAGTGTAGTTACAATATTCTGATGTCCTTACACTGTCCAGGAGGAATTTATATTAGATTTTTGATAAGTCAAGAATGTTATAATCTCTGGGGTAACCACTAGAAGGGAAATACTTCAATGTGTAAGTAGTAACCTATTAAGAGAGAGATAACAGAATAATATGAAATAATCTATCCAAAAGGAGGCAAAAAAGATGAAAATAAACATAGGTGATGTACAACAAATAAAAAAGCAATAATAAAATAGTAGGTTTAAATCCAAATATATTAGAAAGCACATTTCATGGAGGGGACTAAATGTTACAATTAAATGACAAAGATCGTCAGGTCTATAAGATATATATGCCATTTACACACAAAACATTTAAAACAAGGAACAGAAAAAGTTAAGTAAAAAAATGAAAAGACGTGAACAAAAACCAAAAGAAAGTTGATATAGCTGTATTAATACACTCTAAGGCAAAAACATTACTAAATTAAAAAGACACACTTCAAGCTTGATATTGATTAAAAACTTAATTCACATAGAAGTTATAACTAGTGTAAATTGATAAGCAAAGAAAACAAAGTTTACTGAAACAAAAGAAGACAAATCCATAGCATAATGGTAAGATTTTGAAATAACTCAGTAAGAAGAAACAAAATAATCAGTAAAGAGAATATTTGAATAACATGGTTAGCAAACTTGACCTAATGAACATTTGATCAAACACTGTACACTACTGCAAAACACAGTTTCATTTAAAGTACATATGAGGGGCGCCTGGGTGGTTCAGTCAGTTAAGCATCTGCCTTCAGCTCCAGTCATGATCTCTGGATCCTGGGATTAAGCCCTATGTTGGACTCCCTACTCAGTAGGGAGTCTGCTTCTCCCTCTCCCTCTGCCCCTATGCCCCCTCCCTGGTTGTGCTCTCCCTCTCATTCTCTCTCAAATACATAAATAAAACCTTTTAAAAAATTAATAAAGTACACATGAAATATTTACAAAAGCATCATACAAGGTCATGGAGCAAATCTCAATACGTTTCAATAGAAATATTATAGAATATGTTCTTTGATGTGAGAAACTAGAAATAACAAAAGTTTAAAAAGAAAATCCACAAATATCTATAAAGCAAGAAATATACTTCAAAGAAGAAATATATTTTAAGGTATATTAGAATAAGGGGTGCCTGGGTGGCTCAGTCGGTTAAGTATCTGCCTTTGGCTCAGGTCATGCTCTCAGGATCCTGGGATCACTAGCCCTGTGTAGGGCTGCGCACTCAGTGTGGTCTGCTTGGGACTCTGCTCAGCAGGGAGTCTGTTTCTCCCTCTCCCTTTGCCCCTCCCTCCCGCTCGTGCTCTCTCTCTCTCTCTCAAATAAAATCTTTAAAAAATGTATAAAATTAAAAATGAAGTATATTAGGGCGCCTGGGTGGCTCAGTTGATTAAGCGACTGCCTTCGGCTCAGGTCATGATCCTGGAGGCCCGGGATCGAGTCCCACATCGGGCTCCCTGCTCAGCAGGGAGTCTGCTTCTCCCTCTGACCCTCTTCCCTCTCGTGCTATCTCTCATTCTCTCTCTCTCAAATAATAAATAAATCTTAAAAAAAAATGAAGTATATTAGAATATACTTCTAATTTCACAATTGAGATTAGAATATATTTTGAGTTTAATAATAATAATTATATATTAAACTTTTAGACTACACCTAAAATCATGTTTTAGGGACTTAAATGCCTATATTAGAAAAGAAAAGCTGCTAATAAGTATCTAAGAATCTATTTCAAAAATTAATAAAAATACAGAAAACATAACACAAAAAACAGAATTATAAATAAAATGTGTAAGTGGAAAAGCATATAATAAAAAGGATCAACAAAGCCAAATGATCATTCTTGTGAAAGGTTTTTAAAGTGATAAGCCCCTAGAAAATTAATGAAGAAGAAAAACTAAGAGGCAAACACAAACACACACACAAAGGACATAATAAATAATGTCATGCCAATAACTAAAAATTTAGAAGAAATGAAGAACAGAACTTATCAATACTGAGACAAGAAAAAATATAAAATTTACATATTCATAAAACTATCAAATCTAAACATAATTATAAACCTTACACAAAGAAAACTAAAAGTCAAATAGTTTCACCAATAAAGTCTACCAATGCTTAAGAAAGATATAATGCCAGTCTTGGAGCACCTGGGTG